AGAACATCCTTCAGAATGATCAGAGTCGACTCCATGAGTCTCTGAATCAGCTTCGACTGACCCTCAGAGCTCCGTGAAGGAAACAGAACCGCTGGTCACTTTGTTCCTCTTAAACCAAGCTCACTGATCCCTCTGATGGAAACCAAACTAAACGCTGGAACATACAGGAGACGTCTGTGTGAAAGTCACACCTGAACTCTGTGGAACTCCAGGACAGTCGCTGGGAGTCCTCCTCTGGATTTGTTCTGAAGCAGCTCAGTCTGGAGAAGAGAAGAACTAAACGCCCAGAGCTACCAAGAGGACGAGCACGATGTGCAGCATGAGCCTCATGACGACAGAGGTCAGGATGAATGAGTCCATCCTGACTGAGAAATCAACCAGTTGGACAAATACAGTTTGTGTCAGAGACGAGGAGGTGATGGAAGGAAACATCAACAGAAAACTGATGACACTGATACATTATGATCATCAAAGAACTAAAACACGACGTGTGTCAGAAAAGTTCCAGGACTGATGTCACAAAGGATAGATTTCAAATCCAAACTACCAGTTTTCTCCTTCCTAGTAATCCCCCTGCAGTCCACCACCCTCCTCCAGCCTTCTCTGCTGCCACCATGCACTCCTGGAAGGATTCTTCCAGGATCCTCTCAGCTCCGTCCTCACAGCCATCTTGATGTCGTCCACGTCTTCTAAACGGGTCTCCTTGATGACCCCCTTGAGCTTGGGGAAGAGGAACCAATCCCAGGGAGCCAGGTGGGGTGAGTAGGGAGGTTGCTCCAGCACGGAGATGTTCTTCTCAGCCAGGAGCTGTGGGATGCTCAGGGTGCTGTGAGCAGGTTGTCATGGTGAAGCAGCCTCCACTGGTCCTGACACAACTCTGAAGGAAGCCAGGATCTCCTTGTAGACAAGCTGCTTGATCGTCTGGAGGGGAAACTCCTAGTTTGGGTTTGAGATACATCCTTAGTGACACCAGTCCTGGAACTTTTCTGACACCTCGTATGCTGGAGAAAAAGTCATTAAAGCCTGAAGGCTCCTGTTGATGACGAGATGAGTCAGAATCATGTTTCATAATTGTGTTTTAAAAAGGTGAGACTGAACCATTGATGTTCAGCTCAGAGTCAGAGTCTGTTTGCTGCTGAAATGACAGTAAATCTACGAGCTGACCTGAACCTGTCTGACTTGGTGTCTGACTTGGTGTCTGACTTGGTGTCTGACTTGGTGTCTGACTTGGTGTCTGACTTGGTGTCTGACTTGGTGTGTTGTTATTTACTGAGGATAGGAAACACTTGGACTTCACAGGAGACTGAGTGTTGTGGAGGAGTCCAAAACATCTTCAACTACAAATGGTTCTGAACAAAAGCTTCCATCAGCCACAGTCCCTGAACCGAGCCGAGCCTTCTGCCACAGAACAGAGTCTCATAAAGACCCGACTGAGCTGCAGAACTCCTTCAGAACTCTCATCAGCTCAACGTGCTGCAGGTCCACAAGCTGAACAACTTGGACTGCAAACAGGAAGTAAAGTGAAATATAATCCTGCAGCCACAGAAACATCCTGAAACTTCCTGCTCACGCTGCTCATCCATTTATTTACATGTTTATTTCATTCATTGACTTCAAACCAAACAATTCAACAGGACACAAACATTCCTGACTCCTGAATGAAAGGCAGCAGAAAGAAGAAGAATCTGATGTTATCTGCCCCCTTTACCCACACAAATACATTTACAAAGACTTCAGTGACAAAAAGCATCAACAACATCAACAACAACAACAACAACATAAACAGCCGTCCTTCAGAGCTGACAGTCACGTTTTACTGTATTCTCTTTAATCCTCTTAAACACCAACAGAAACGTTGACGTGATGATTTNATCCATCCATCATCCATATATTCACTTACAGGAAGTGTCTGGAGCCACATCATCACCCTTTACTGGGAACTTTTGCACTTTTATCCCACTTTCAGGAGCAGGTAACTAAAACTGTGTCGTCTGCTGGGCCCGTTCAACCACCTGATGGAAACGGTTCCGTCTGTCTCACCACATTTGGACTTTTATTTCTGCAGATATTGAACCTTAAATAGCTTCCCGTGTTTTTCAGAGGGTGGAGAAACAGAACTCCACAGGTCTGAAAACGAAATCCAGCCAAAACAAGTCCCAGCAGATCTGAGTTCAGCTTCTTGGATAACAGATGATTTTGTAGAAAGACCCAGACTGACCCACATGTGGACAACATAGTCTCAGTTTTGACGTGTTTATTTATTTACTTTACAGCTAAACGTCGTGAAAGAACGAACTACTGTTTGGAAGGACGGATGTTTTTGGTGCAAACATTCTTAACAGTTTGTCTCGTTTTTTGTTTTTTAAATACTTATTTTTTCTGTAATTTGATAGTAATCAGAACCAGGACCAGCTTTAATGGCCCAGTAGGTACACGACATACAAGGGATTTGGGTTGGGCTGTTGGTGTCGCCCCGGGAATGAGCAAGGACAATAATAGAAATAGGACAATAAAGAATAAGAATAGAAAATACAAGAAGATATGATAGAAATACAAAAGTATGTGGCAGGTTTGTGAATGAAGCTCACGCGCAGCCCTCCACTCTGGACACGTCATGCTAAAGAGCTGCTGCTGCTGCTGCCCAGAGGACTGGACGGACCGGACTCCATGGAAAAACTGCAGCCCTCCAACATCCTGTTTGCAGCACAAACCTCAGAAAACGCGACACGGAACCAATTAAAACCAGCCCATGTACCATGTAACGGCGTTTAACGGGTTTTACGTGCAAACATTTCAACTATCTGACCCTCAACCTCCGCTTTTCACCGACCCAAAGTGAACCGTGTTTTTTTTCATGGACCTTAACGTAAAAGTCGAATTAAAACCATGCCGAACCGCAGACGGACCCTTCGTGGTCGACATGTTCGGTGGAACAGCACCAGAACAGACGGTGTCGTTGGCAGGCACCACAGTTTCTCTTAAATTCAGAAATAATCTGTGGGTGTTGGTGTGAGCGACGGGTTAGCACCATTAGCTTAGCCGCGCTAACGGGCTAGCCTCTAGAAAACTCACCTCTCCTTATCGGCGGGGTTCTGAGTCAGGTGAGCCATGACTGCAATCGGTCCTGGACCGGGAACGAACGATCAGCACCGACGGATCGGTTCCGTTTAATCACAGACTGAAGACGAAGTTGTGCTCGTTCACCTGGAGGCTACACGTAGCCGCTCTGTAGCCGTGTGGCTGAGCGCTGCCTGTTGACAGCTTCTCCTTCTGCTCTACTGGCAGCAGCGAACAGCGCCACCGTCCGGTCTGGAGGAGGAACTGCAGCGACGGAAATAATTCACACTCCAGGAAAGAAAAGAGAAACTTTACTGATGTGGAATTATAGTTACAAGGAAATGTTGTGTTGATGTCGCCTTAAAACAGGATTACATATATATTATATTATCTGCTTTCTTTAAATAGAACACATAACTGTTAAAAACCAAACAAACAAACAAAAACATGCTTCCTGACAGATTTTATAAAGTTTTTAATGTTCACACTTTTAATCAGGTGCCAGATTTCCCCCCATTCTCTTTAATTTATTTTAAGACCTTTATAAAATAAAATATTAACAGCATATTGTTTGTGGCAGCACGGGAACCAGATGATCAGATGTGACATTTTTATTGATCTCTTCATTTATGGCAGTTTTTAATGTTCTGTTTCTGACACATTTTTATTCACGTATTTTTTCCCCCACAGGTTTTTATCTCTTGTCTTTGTTATTCTGTGTTTATGAAAAACATTTTGAACATGTTTATGTCTGTAGCAGTGAGAGTGCCCAGTGTTCATGTTTTGGTGGTTTTTATTTTTCTGTTTTTAAATGAATAATTTGAACACGTTTGATTAAAAAACCAAACGAGCCTCACTGTAGATACTGTCCATATTAATGGTAATTAGTTCTTTTAAAATGTGCGACTGTCATATTACACGTTTTTATTCATGTTGTTTGACATCAGACGTGTAAATTCTGTTTATTAATTGAATCCTCTGAATCTGTTTCTGTCCGACGGTGACGATCTGATGTTTGCTGCATGAATTCACACTGAACCAAACAAGTTGTGACAGAAAGACGATGAACTTGTTCAGTGTGTCCGACACACTGAAGGATCAGTGCAGGAATGTTCTTACACAGACTTCTGTTGTTGCTTTGCTCAGCTTCTACGTCCGACTCTCCTGTTCCTTGATCAGAGAGCATCTGGTGCGCTGAGAACTGGACAAAGTGAGGAGAAGAACCGCTTCAGTCTGGTAGTTAGCAGAGCTCATTTCTGTCAGAACATCCTTCAGAATGATCAGAGTCGACTCCA